CTACTTTAATTTTGCTACTTGTGAGATTACCTTCTGATTTTATCTCATTTATAAATGAGATGCATCCAGTATCAAATAATATAGGGAATTATCCATCATTTTGTTTTATTGACTTGTAACTTCAGAGTCTTGCCCAGATTCAGTTAAAGAACAACTGTAAATTCTGAGAAGAAATGTCATTTCTTCCCAAGGCAACTGTAATGCACTGTATTAGTTTCCTAGGGCTGCTGTACCAAACGACCACAAACTGGATGGCTTAAACAACAGAAATTTATTGTCTCACTGTTATTGAAGCTAGAAGTCTGAGGTCAAGGTGTCAGCAGGGCCATGTGCCCCTCCTCTTAAAGCACCGAGGAAGGCTCTAAACTGTTCCAATCCTCTCTAGCTTTTCGTGGTTTTCTGGAAAATTTTTACTTTAATTTTTCTTGGCGTATGGAAGTTATCACCTCAATCTCTGCTTTTGTCCTCATGTAAAGTTCTGTGAGTGTGTGTGTGTGCATGTGCACATGTGAGTGCCTTTCTTCAAATTTCCCATTTTTATAAGGACACCAATCGTATTGGATTAGGGGCCCCATTCAGAATGACATCACCTAAACAAATTATATCTACAGTGACCCTATTTGCAAATAAGATCACCCCTGAGGTACTGGAGTTTAGAACTTGAACATATAAATTTTCAGGGAAAACAATCTAACTCATATCACACATCTTAAAAAATTCTAATTTCTTTTGGTTATATATTTTTATGAAAAAAAAGCGCCTTTTTTTTTCTCTTTAATGTAAAAGAACTTCCGAAAGCATCAGTGGTTCTTACAATATTCCTATGTGGGCCTCAAATAAATCAGAAAGTATGTATTTTTCTTTTGGGCCTGAAACTTCCTTACCAGTTCTCCTTGAGTCTTTCTTTTTTTAGCTGAGCCACCTTGCCACCTGTTGGCAGCTCAACGGCAACTCAGCTCAGGCTGAGACTCGACCGCTGTTGCTCAGAGCTCAAACTCTTGAGCGAGCTCTTAACCAACTGAGCCACTCAGCCGGCCCCAAGGAATCCTTGAATGGTTGAGCAAGGGATTTATTTTCTGCCCCTGCCATGTATGTCTTCCCCTGCTGTAAATTGGGACAGGCTGACTTTTGGTTGAGTTGTGCTGTGAATATACCTACGTTCCCTTCAACCAGCAATCCGTGTACTCAAAGTGGCAGCCGGATACCTTCAGACAATATTAGAGGTAATTTGCTGTTTGTTTCACACACAGATAGAATCCCCCAGTACCTGTGAGACCTACAGCACAAAGATGTGTGTAGCTGTTAATGATTGTACTTTTGGACCAGGGTGCAGAGCTATTATATTTTGTTTCATACCCTGAAACCATTTTCTGCTCTGTTTACTTCCCTCTGCTACCTTAAACCATCGTTTACTCAATACCACCAACCTTCCTGTTTTTTCTCCTTTTTGCCTTGCTCTTTACCTCACTTGTCACCCCATTCAGAGGTCTCAGCTTTCACTGAATGAGGCGGGACTTCACAGACACCCCAGGCCAAACACAGCACCCTCTCTCCGTCATGTGGTGGTCCCTCTTATCACCATAAATCACCACCATCATCCTGTACCAGTTGTCATTAGGCTTTCTCCATGGGGTGGTTCCGAGAGGACTATTTTAAGACATTAGAAACTATTTAGACTGAAATCACTATGTCATGACCAGAGCAAGTTTCAGAACCTTAGGATTTTATAAGTGCGGTTTCTTAATGCCCATTATTTTATAGCTTTCAAGACTGTTTTCTGAATCCTAGTAATCCTTATGTGCCCAGTACGGTCAGCATTTTTCCCATCAAATCCAAGATTTGATTGATATAATTTTATAACATTCTATCCACATTATGGGCTTTTTACACTTTTATAGCTTGACCTGCTACACTACTACAGATTTTAGTTTTTTTCAATGAGATGCCAATGACAATGCCTCATAAACCAATTTTTATCTGTAAATATCTACCTACTGGTATTCTCTGAGTAAGTTGGAAAGATGAATATTGGGTGTGGAACAATGTTGTGACATCACAGAAAAAGTCCTTAATCTGTAATAATGAAAAGTATATTTAGTAGTGGAAGAGATGGTTTGCATGTGACTAGCTGTGGAAAGTTTAATGAAGCCAGAAAATGTAGTGCTATAATGTGAAAATCCATGGTACACACGCAAGCTCAAATCAGGCTAAGAATGGACAAGCACTCTTATCCAAATATCTTGAGGCAATAAGACATTTTTTTTTAACTTTTAATTTTGAGATCGTAGACCCAAATGAAGTTGTGAGAAATGATATGGAGAGATTCCTTAAATCCTTTACCCAAAACATTGGGGAAAATATGTTTTCCCCAATGGTAATATATTGCAAAACTGTACAACTGCCTTAATCAGGGTATTGAAATGATTTAATTTGCCCATCTTATTTGGATGTCTCTATTTTTACTTGTGTGTGTACGTGTGTTGTAGTTCTATGTGATTTATCACTTGAATATATGTTCATGTACCCACAACCATGATCAAATGACTGAATAGTTCCAGCAGCACGAGAATCTGCCATGTTTCCTTTTTTGTCTCCCTAACCCAGCTGTCTGCGCTTCCTCTCTACTAAGCTCTGGCACCTGCTAATCTGTTATCCATGTCTAAAATCATGAATGTTAAATGAATGAAATTATATATTTTCTGAACTTTTGGAATTGGCCTTTTTCCAATTGGTATAATTTCCTGAAGACTAATTTAAGTTGTCACAAATACCTGAAGTCTGTTTATTTTTGTTGCTGAGTAGTATTCCGTAGCGTGAGTGTACCCCAGTTCGTTTAATCATTTTCCCACTGAAGGACATTTGGGTTGTTTTCATTTGGGAGCTACTACAAATAATGTTGTTATGAATATTTGTAAACAGGGTTTTATGTGAACATACATTTTCAGTACTTGAGTATGAATGCCCAAGAGTACAGTTTGCTGGGTTGCATGGGAAATGTATGTTTGGTTTTATAAGATTCTGCTAAACTTACATTTCCAGCAGCTGTGAGTGTCTGAGTGACCTAGTTTCTCAGCACTCCTGCTAGTATTTGGTGTTGCTATTATGTTTTATTACCCATAATTAGAGATTTCTTTTAGACATAACACAGTCAGCCCTCCCCTTCTGGGTATGCATAATTACTAATCATATTTCTGCTTAGAATCTCAATGTAAAAGTAACACTCAGAGACCAGAAGCATTGTGTATTATTAAAAGTCCATATTCATTTATGATTTGTTAATAGAAATTGTCAGGTTTCTAATTCTATTAAATTTTCTGGGATCCCTTGAATATAAAGAAGAAGCTTTGCTTAAAGTTGTATCTGAATTTCAATATGAAAGTAAAAACTATGTAGTTGAATAGCTATTAGACCCTTAATAGGTGTGTCATACCTAAAAACAGAAGTAATTAGTAAAATTAAAGCATGAAAATGTCACTTCTTCCATTGTCAGGTACCAAAATGAATGCAGAATTTTCTACAGACTCACTTGATTTTGGAAACATTGTTTGATACATAATTTAAATTAAGTAGAATTTCCCTAGTTAGGCAGAATAAAATATCAAGTATGCACTATTTGATGATTCATCAAGTACATGTTATAAATAAATGAGAGCTCTCACCCACTAATTCTACAATGATGTTGTACAGCCCATAATATATGATTGTCATGCTACACTTAAACCTGTTTTTTGGGGGGAATTAACTGAAATATGAGATAGGTGATTCTTACTATGCAAATAGTGTTTAAAAGGTATAAACATAAATCAACCAGCATAATATATCCACAAATATTAATACCTCAAATATAGTATTTAAAAGTTTATAAATTGGGCCGGCTGAGTGGCGCGTTGGTTAAGAGCTGGCTTCGGACGCCAGAGGGCCCCGGTTCGGATCCCACATATGAGGGCCAGTGACACTGCCCTCCACAGCTAAGATGCTGAACAACAGCTCGACCTGGAGCTGGGCTGCCGTGAGTTGCAAGCTATGGTGTAGACTGCAGCCACTGCAGCTCGACCTGGAGCTGGGCTGCCGTGAGTTGCAAGCTATGGTGTAGACTGCAGCCCCTGCTGCAGTGGGTTGCCATGGGCTACCGTGTGTAGCCAGCAGCCAGCAGCTGCAGTGAGCGGCCGTCCAGAAGCTGGCGGCTGATCTGCCTCTCCTGGGAAGAGCGCAGTGATGGTGCCAACTTGGGCCAGTGAAGCAATGTCCTCCACAACTAGAATGAAGAACAAAAGGACAGCAACTTGTCTGTTCCCCTTCCCCCAATTCCCCAGCGCTGTTCCCATCCCCCAATTCCCTAATAAAAATCTTTAAAAAAAAGTTTATAAATTATTTTTAAATACAATTTAATCTTCAAAAATCCAATGTGATAGGGATATTCTGATACCCAATGTAGAAAAAAATTATATCAATATTCTGTAGAAGAAATTAATGTAACAGAATTGAACCTTGAGAACCAGTTAGGAGACTCATTAATTGTCTATGTAAGAAATAAAAAGGACATGAATGATGGAAATGGCTTCAATGGGCTGTTTTGATGCCATTATTAACTTAATGTAAAAAATGTCAACTCACTCACCTTCTCAACTAACCCCAAACCACAAAACACTGCCAGTCTTCTGAATAGTTGTGTAGCATACAATATACACCCTCACCGTACCTTTAACAATTAACGCCGATTTAATTCTTGACCATCAATCCATTCCAGCCCTGAATATGCAAAGGACAAAATAGACTATATTCATGTTGTCAGCACACAGAGTCATATTCAAATATCTGAGATGAAATAATTGATTTGGAGCTCTCATTTAGTACATTTGATAGCAGGGCAAAAAACAAGGAATATGTCTGACAGATAAATCTAAGAATTGAATTTAGTAGGACACAACCTTTATCTGTGTACAAATTACTCATGTGCTAAATGCCATCACACACTAAAATTTGTTTTCCTGAATGCACAGGTACCTCTGTTCTACAGGTGACAGCTACTGATGCAGATGACCCTACCTACGGAAACAGCGCCCGGGTGGTTTACAGTATTCTCCAAGGACAACCCTACTTCTCCGTAGATCCTAAAACAGGTTAGTGCGTGCATTATAGCTTGTGTGCTGGTGCATGTTACACTAAAAGAAAACACTGTTCTTACAATTGACCCTTGAACAACATGCATTTGAATTTCATGAGTCCACTTTATGCAAATTATTTTCCATAAATACAGTACTGTCAATGTATTTGTCCTTATGATTTTCTTAATAACATTTTCTTTCCTCTACCTTACTTTATTATAAGAATACAGTATGTAATGCATATAATATGCACAACATATGTTAGCCACTGTTTATGTTATTAGTAAGGCTTCTGGTCAACAGTAGGCTATTAGTAGTTAAGTTTTGGGGGAGTGAAAAGTTATGCGCAGATTTTCGACTGTGTGGAGTGTCAGCACCCTTAACCTCTTCACTGGTCAAGGTCAACTGTATTTCTGTGTACTCTCCTACATCAGACATTATTTTAGCACATTTGAAAATGCCCACACGTTTCTAAAACAAATAAGATTGAAAAACTGAAGATAAGTTAACTGCTTTCCTTAATATTTTGATTATCCATTATTTATACTTATGGCAATAAAAACCTTCCTAACTTTGCACATTCCTGTAACATTTAGTAAAATATTCTCTGTTTAAAAACAAATATGGAGTATTACATAAAATGAGATTTTCAATTATATTATTTTTTTGTTTACATATTCGTTTAATTCTTTGCAAGAAGATAAAATATTTATTTAGATTCTTTTACAATTTATTGGAATTTGATTGTCACATAAGTCGTTATAAGTTATACTGGGAAAAATGCTCGTTATTTGCTTCAAAGCTAAGAATTTTTTTTGTTTTTTAAGCTTAAAGTACTTATTAATATGCAATTAAACATCCTCAGGACTAATGAATTTAGTGGAAATTGTGCTTAAAAATGACTGGAATACAATAGAAACATACTAAAAACTAAGAATCAGTTGCTATAGAAGGGATGTTATATAAGAAGTGTTTGGAGAGTAGTTACTTATAAATGTACATTTTAATAATATCACGTTTATTCTATCCTCTCATGTGGCATGACTATATTTCAACATGTTCCCAAGTACTTTCAGTGAAGACCAATTATAATGAAACAGAACTTTTTTACTCATATAGACTTGTGAATGCTTATGGTTAAGTTCAGGACTGTGGTTTGTCCATTTTGCATTATGTTAAGAGGTACATTTTGACACTCACCAGGGATTTCCAAGGAAGAGCAGCAAATGAGGCCTTACTTCCTACTTTATAAACTATCTATGAATTGTTGCATCCGGAGAATTGAACTGTGTGGCTCTTGATATACTATGCATAATTGATAACTTCTGTATTGTTTTACATTGAAATCCCATTAATCAGTATGACAAAATGGATTATGTGACTAACTTATTTTTTAAAATAAGTTTTACTGAGTAACTTTTTTATGATGCTTGCTTGATGTATAACAACAAAAGAGGAGTTAGCATTAAAAAGTGATATTTTAACATTACCATTTGAAAGATGCAGAAGACTATGGAAGCATAAACTATAATAGATAACAATATATAAGAGACATATAGTGTTTCTGGACAGATTAATGAGGTCTATTGGAATATATTGATTTTAATTTAGCAAGGAAACGCTTTAGAGTTATCAAGTTAAGGAACCATTATAAAGTATGTGGAAACTACTAACCCCAGCAAGGCATTTTAAAGAAGTCTGCTGAGTGAGAAAGCCATATGAAGTGGCCAATGATCCAAAGTCAAAAGATATTTGAGCTGATAGTTGTTTATTAGCACAGCTCAAATCTTAATCCTAGTCCAGTTAATATAGTGCCAACTGCATTAAAATAAATCAATATGCTCAAGATCTCTCTGCCTCTTTATAAATGATGGGATTTCTGCCAGGTGGTGACAGTAGAAGCTGGAATGATGGAGTTGCTACAGGAAGGAACTACTTTCCCTGACTTAGGTCAAAGACAAAACCAGAAATGTACCAGTATCTTTCCAGGGTCTTAGGAACAGAATGGGAGATTCACCAGTGGCAGGTGTGAAGTTTTTAATTGAGAATGCAAATTGGTTGTGGTCATGGCATGTAAAGCCAATTGATGATTGTCTGATTGTCTCCACTAGCTGTTTCATGGTCAACAACTTATGAATTACTCATGTTATTTTAGTTAGTGCATATATGTTAAGTTTGCCTGTGCCTATTGCACACAGACATGTTAAAACTTCCTGATGGTCAACTCAGCAAACCTGAAAACCTGTATTAAAACCTGATATCAGAGAAAACAGAGAGATACACGGCTTTACAAAATCCTAGTTAAGTTTTATTTACAGTTGTTTATGATGCTAACAATGGTGAATACCAGCTGTTTTGACCATAATTAATATGAAACATGTAAATCAGGTATAGTGGATAATGGTGTCAATGTCTCTGTATAAATGGTACCCACAGGGGTTTTTAGCCACAGGCTAAATAATGACGATTAAGAAATTTCAGTATAAATAAACTTATATTTTAACTTGTTAAACACTTTTATAAAATCTTTTTACTCATTAAAGAATGAATATTTAATTGGGAGATATAGCAGCTGAAAACACTTCTATTGATAAATTCTACATTTAATATTCAGGTATAGAAAAATAGTACGCCTAGAAAGGCTACCTTTTATATACAAAGATCATACCAGATATCCTTTTTTTCAACACCCCTGATGCATGTTAGTAGTTGAATGGTTTCTGCTATATGATGTTAAAATAGGGTAGACATTGGGTTTCAATTATCTTGTCAGTCAAACCCTTAGACATTAATAGCATCTATTCCACAGAGAGCAGGACATGTGACATGAAATAAAATGCACCACACCTAGTGTTGCCTGTTGGTTCTAAAGGCACAAGTAGTATTCTAACTGATTTTTACAAAGCAATATTGTAAATATTAATAAAGTGTTTAAATGACCTTCCTATGAAATACTTAAGACATATAGGCAGGTTATAGTTTAAGTAACATAGTGAAATAATTCATTTTTATTGTTTTTCAAAATGCTAAGTTTTATTCCAAAATTACTTGGAGGCACTACACGGGCAATCCCTAAAATGTTCTTAGTATCACCGTAAACTGACTAAGTTACTGATATGTTATGTTCCCGTTTCCTTGTATTTCAATTTAGGACAGTAACACATACCAATGAAGAAAGCAATGTAATGTCCTTAGCCTGTTTTTCTCAGAAAACATAGGTACTCAGTAAAGTTCTCTTATTTTCCTCTTTTTCCTTTGAGCTTGTAAAGAATTTACGAAATTACTACATAGTATACCATAACAAGTGGTTGAAATGGTCTTATCTAAAGTAGAAAAACACAATTTTGTGTGTAAGGATGTTTAGTCCAAATAACTACACATATTCATAAAAAGTGAGAGCTCCACTATGGACTGTTATTTAATTAAATTTCTTTTCAGACATTTCAAAGAAAGTTTTTTGTGTTATAAATAAGATAAATGTATATTTTAGAAAATGTGGGTGATGATTTAAAAGGGAATAAGTTAGGTAATAAAATTTACTAGCCTTTTGCCTTCAGAATTGACCCTCCCAACTCAGAATTGTGTCCCTAGATGAGGTAGAGGGCCTGCTGTCTGTGAAACATTGTCATTAAAGCACAGGTCATGACCAACAATAGCTTTGATTCTTGAAAATGACCTTTCCTTAGCATCTCCTATCAGAAATCAATCAGCTATAATAATGCATTCAGTAGAAGGCTTCAGTGAGTGTCTTAGGATGTAATTGAAAACAAGGTTTTCAACATTCTTCACTTTGTATTATGTAATTGAGTTTATCAAAAGTTTTGCTTGTATTTAATCTCTTCAAATTTATTCCATTTCAAGAATGAACAAAAATCGTTTGTGAAGATATTGTGTATGTTTGGATAGAAGAAGTAAGGCACCTTTAAAAGTTTTATGGATTTTGATATTAATTTTGCATAATTCCATGTGAAAATCTACTTGAAATTAGTTTTATTTTTCCCAAAGCAATATGTTATATTTATTAATAGCTAAGAAGTTAATAGTAAAGAAGTTAAATGTGAAAGTTGGACTGTAAATAAAGAAGGCTGATATTTAAAAAAAATAGATTCATTTGAAAAATGGTATTAGAGAAAAGCTCTGAGAATACCCTGGGCTGCCAGAAAGATAAACGAGTGGGTCTTAGAGCAAATTGGGCCTGAAACATCACTGAATGCAAAAATGACAAAACTGAAACTGTCCTACTTTGGGGACATCATGAGAAGCCAGGGTTCTTTGGAAAAGATAATAATGTGGGAAAAGTAAAGGCAGCAGGAAAAGACAACTAAATGCAATGTGAATTGACTTCATAAAAGAAGGCATAGGCAGGAGTCTGCAGGAACTGAGTGGGGCTTTTGAGGACAGGACGTTGTGAATGTCACTCATTCATAGGATTTCCAAGGGTGATAGCTGACTCAATGGCACAAAACACACAAGTTAAAACGCTTCAGTTATAGTCCACAAGATTTACAGGGTATTCCACAGTAGAATATGTTTTGTCAATTTTTCTCCTTCATCATCCATCCCTAATTGATATAAAAACAATAACAGTATAATAATTACATGCACAAATAATCATAGATACATTTTTAAAAAATTTTCCTTCACTTGACTGCATTGTAGAAAAAATAGTTAATTAGTAACTGCAGTGCTAAAGAATTTCCTTCTCGTAGAGAAAAATGGAAGGCATGGATTCCAAACTATGTCATATCATCAATTTACTTAAAGAAACATTGTCATACTTTGTCTCGTTTAAGGAAGAATCTAATTAGTTCTTGAATTGTAGCAATGTGCATGAGAATTAACAGCATAAGAAAAAATCCGTTTATATAGCTTTTAAGAAATAAAGAGTCAATGAACTATAATAGACCCTAGTAGCTGTCCACTCAATATCAATTTCTCATTTTGCTGATTCTATCAGAACTCTGATTTTTCTCGGTGTAGCAACATACTCAGTTAAAAAGCTAAATTCCTCAGCC